ATCACTCTGCAGTGCATTATGCCACAAAACAAGTCTTAAGTAAATGTAATAAGACTAAAATCATATCAAGCATCTTATCAGATCACAATAGCATGAAATGAGAAATCAATTATAAGAAAACTAAAAAACACACATAAATAACATGCTACTACACAACAAATGGGTTAACAATGAGATTCAGGAAGACATCAAAAGATAACTTGAGACAAATGAAAATGAAAACATAATGGCCAAAAAATCTATAGGCCACAGCCAAAACAATTCATAGGAAGGAGGGAAATTCACAGCAATACAGGCCTACCTCGAGTAACAAGAAAAATTCAACAATCCAATCTTAAACCTAAAGGAACTAAAAAATGAAGAACAACGTCTAAAGTGAGTGGAAGGAAGAAAATAATAGAGATCACAGTGGAAATAAACGAAAGCCTTACAAAACAAAAGAAAGGATAAATGAAATCAGAAACTTGGTTCTTTGAAAAAGTAAACAAAATTAATAAACCTTTAGTTAGACTCATCAGAAGGAAAAAAAGAGAGAGGGCCAAATAACTAAAATCAGAAAGAGGAGGACTGACAATCTACACCAGAGAAATACGCAGGATGACAAGGAAATACCACCAACAATTACATGCCAACAAACTGGACAACCTAGAAGAAATGGATAAATTTCTAAAAACATACGGTCTTTTCAGGCTAAATCGGGGGAAACAAAAAATTGAACAGGCCATTAACTACTAACCATATCCAATCAGTAACCAAAAAACTCCCTACAAGCAAGTCCAGGAGCACATGGCTTCACAGGTGATTTTTACCAAACACGCAAAAAATAATTAATACCTATCCTTCACAAACTATTCCAGAAAACTAAAGAGGGAAAGGCTCCCAAACTCATTTGAGAAAGCCAGCATTACCCTGATAACAACAACAAAGACACTACCAAAAAAGAAAATTATAGGCCAATACCCCTGATGAACATAGATACAAACAGTCTTTAACAATATATTAGCGAACTGAATTCATCAATAAGTAAAAAAGATCATATACCACAATGAAGTGGGATTTATTCCCAAGATACGAGGTTGGTTCAATATCCACAAGTCAATTAATGTGATACACCACATAAACAAAATGAACTATATTCGTCATATGATCATATCAGTAGATTTAGAAAAAGCATTTGACAAAATTCAATATCCATTTATGATAAAAATAAAATAAAATAAATGGGACTAAATAAAAATAAAAAGTTTCTGCATAGCAAAACCATCAACAAAACAAAAAGACAACCTAATAAATGGGAGAAAATATTCACTAATGATATATCCGATAGGGGGTTAATATCCAAACTATATAAGGAACTCATAAAACTTATCACCAAAAAGACAAACAATCTAATTTAAAAATGGGCAGAGGACCTAAACAGACATTTCTCCAAAAAGGGCATACGGATGGTCAACAAATACATGAACAGATACTCAACATCACTAATCAGCAGAGACATACAAGTTAAAGCCACAATGAGATATCACCTCATACATGTCAGAATGGCTATCATCAATAAATCAACAAATAATAAGTGTTGGCGAAAATGAGGAGAAAAGGAAACCCTCATGCACTGTTAGTGGGATGCAAGTTGGTGCAGCAGTATAGAAGTTCCTCAAAAAATTAAAAACAGAACTGCCACATGACCCAGCAATTCCACTTCTGGGCATTTACCCAAAGAAATCCAAAAGATATAGCATTCCCATGTTCACTGTAGAATTATTTACAATAGCCAAGATATGGAAGAAACCTAATAAACCAATGATAGACAACTGGATAAAGAAGTGGTACATATATATAATGGAATATTCAGCCATAGAAAAGAATGAAATCTTACATTCTCACAACACGCATGGACCTAGAGGGTATTATGCTAAGTAAAATAAGTCAGACAGAGAAAGACAAATACCATATGATTTTACTTATATGTGGAATCTAAAAAACAAAATAAATAGATATAAAGAACAAAATGGGAGGGGTGTGGGGGGACTGGGTGAAAAAGGTGAGGGGATTAAGAAGTACGAATTGATAGTTATAAAATAGTCATAGGGATGTAAAGTATAGCATAGGGAATATAGTCAATAATACTATAATAACTATGTATGGTGATAGGTGGGTACTACATTTACCGGGGGTTCACTTTGTAAGTTATATAAATGTCTAATCACTATGCTGTACACCTGAAATTAGTATAATAATGAATGTCAACTGTAATTCAAAAATTAAAAAAACAAACACAATGTCTGGGACAATAAACACTTCGTAAAGATGTATGTACCTCTATGTTCATTGCAGCATTATTTACAATAGCCAAGACATGGAAACAGCCTTAATGTCCTTCGACAAATAATTAATATATGACACATATATACTATGGACTACTACTCAGTCATAAAAAAAAAAAAGTGTTGCCATTTGCAGCAACATGAGTGGATCTTGTCCCTGGCTGAGTAGCTCAGTTAGCTAGAGTGTCATCCTGATACACCAACATTGAGGTTCGATCCCCGATCCCTGTCAGAGCACATACAAGAATCAACCAATGAATGCATAAATAAGTGAAACAAAAAAATCAATATTTCTCTCTCTCTCTCTCTCCACCCCTCCTCTTCCTCCCTACTTCTCTCTCTCTCTCTCTCTCAAATCAATAAAATAAAAAAAAATTTTTTAAAGACATACACACGTGGATGGATCTTGAGAGTTTTATGCTAAGTGAACTAGGTCAGAAGGAAAAGGACACAAACTGCATGATTCCACTCATATGTGGAATATAAAAACAAAAAGGAGACGTGCAAAGAAAAAAGCAAACTCATAGACCCGGACAACAGAATGGTGGTTACCAGAGGGGCAGGGCATTGGAGTGAGGACAAGGGTAAAGGAGGTGAAATACATGGTGACTTCCGGAGGCGAACACGCAATACTGTATACAGATGTCATACTATCAAGCTGTACACCTGAAATTTATATAATGTTATTAACCAATGTTACCCCAATAAATTTAACTTGAAATATAAGCTTTAAATAACAAGATATTAAAGTATTTGTCATAATTATTTCATGTTACTTTATTTAAAAGCACAAAAGCAGGATCAGCACAGAACTACTGACGTGTCCTAGGCTGGTGGCGACAAGGAAATCGTCCATTCTATAATTCTACCAACACGCATTGAGCACCAACTCTACATGCAAGACACTGTGCGAGGCGCTTTGGGAAGATACAGAGACCAGGACTGATGGTCTGTGCTACAACTGCTACAGGATTCAGAGCATGTGAAATGTGAAATGTGAGGCTTCCTTTACTCAGAAGAAAGAAGGGAGAGCATGTGGAGAAAGGCAGAGGTCAGCAAAGGCTTTGTGGAGGAGGTCACATGGCCCTGTGCCTAAAGCATCAGGAGGACTTTGAGGAAGAAGTAATTTGGGTGTTTTATTCACTAATGTTCTGAACTGAAAGACCAGAAATCTAGCCCAGTGGTTAAAACCATGAGATGTAGCCCTAGCTTGCTTGGCTCAGTGGATAGAGTGTCAGCCTGCAGACTGAAGGGTCCCGGGTTCGATTCCGGTCAAAGGCACATGCTCAGATTGTGGGCTTGATGCCAGCAGGGGACGTGCAGGAGGCAGACAATCAATGATTCTCTCTCATCATTGATGTTTCTCTCTCTCTCCCTTCCTCTCTGAAATCAATAAAAATATTTTTTTAAAAAACAACAACACACACACCATGAGATGTAGAGTCAGAGTGATTTGGGTTCCAGCTCTTCTACTAACTATTCTGTGATCTCAGGATAAGTTACTTAATGACTTAAGCCTCACTTTCTTCATGTGAAAGGAAATGATCATCTCAATGTTATAGGATGCCTAAGTATATAAGAGAATGTTGCAAAATGCATTACAGTACAGAGTGCCTGCTCAATGGATTAGTTACTGAAGAAACAGAAAGTACCCTCTACACCATAAAAAAAAAAAAAGCCCTCAATGATGAAGCTAGCACAAATGAAGACCATGGCACTACAACTTCTTAATAATAAAGAATTAGAAAAAATAGCAAGAAAAAAATAAAATGGAGGTGGGGCAGAATACAGTGTCTTTCACATAGTAGGCATGTAATGTTTCTATATCTGCTAAATGAATGAATAACCCAAATAATAGATCAACTAAGTCTTGCAACGCTAACTAGCTACCTTTAACCTGTCAGAGAACACCAGTGCACTTCAGGCATGTAAAACTATGAACAAATTGGTGTGCCTTGCTATTTCTGGCAAAATACCTTAGAAAGTTTTTATTTCACACAGGAGTGCAAAGTCCCAGACATGTCTGTGAGGCTCCTCCAGGCTGTAGGAACAGGCTGCTGTAGGCAG